ACATACATACATACATACATACATACATACATACATACATACATACATACATACATACATACATACATACATACATACATACATACATACATACATACATACAGACATACATACAGACATACATGTATGTATGTGTATATATATAATCAGAGCTATTTTGTAGTATGGGAGTTTTAAGCAGGGAAACCGATCATCTGATGGGTGCCCCATTTGGGGCACATCCATATCACTCGTCAAGGGAGCCTGCATCTCGACGGAGACATTAAGGGGGGCACTGCAACGAAGTTGCAAATCAACAAGTTCAGGCGAAAACCAAACCAAACAAACCAAAACAAACCAAACACGCTCAGGTGTTCAAAACAAAGCTAACACTCTTTGTGGTTTCCATGCTTGCAAGCAAAGATCAGCCAATCCCCAAACCTTTGGCCAGCCAACAGCTTGTCTATCCTTGTCTTATTTCCACCTGACCCACAGCAACCAATCTTGTGAGATATGGTATCATGGTCCTGCGCCGCTCCGCCCAGGTCAGGAAGATACTGAAACCAGACTGGCCCCCACTTACATTCAAGAGCCAACAATCCCTGCAGAAATGGCCTAAAGTTGAAAACCGACAGGAAAGAGTCCAACCAACCCCACCCCACAAGATCCGAGCCGCCGCCGAAATATCGCTAGTCCTTCTTTTTAAAGAGACGCCTTCGTCTTTGAGGCTTTCTACTGCTCAACATACGATCAAGAATCCGGCGGTTTTTTCTTTTCTTTTTTTTAACTGACACCTGTTTCGCTGCATTCCACTCCAATACATATCCCTTGTACCAACCAGCTCCTGGTCCCTTACTGCTAGCTCATCTCTTCACAGCCCAGCCGCCCACCTCCACCTTCTGGAGCCGCTCCAGGTCCTGAGAGGTAAACTCGCCGCTTTTCGGCGAGGTAGGATTCGCGGAACCCAAAACCGAAACCAGGTGTTCTCGTGGCTTTGGAGAGCCCATGAAAAAGCTGGCGTGCTCCTTTTTTGGGGGTTCAGCAACCATGTGTTCGAGCCGGTAACCAGAAGAAGCCAAGCTGAAGCCAAAGCGTCGGGGCCTTAGAACCCCGACTTCTCGCCTAGGGGCTCATGTTGTACCTTGTAGCTTGCACGCGCCGCGCCGCGAGCCACCGAAGGCTCTTGTTGTGATCCCCTAGGTGACTTGCTCGTGCTTTGTGTCCTGGTCCTAGAGGCAAAAGCGACGTGTCAAAGACCAAGCCCAAGTCAAAAAGTGGCAGGAAACCGCAAGAACGTCCACAGAAGAGGCCTCGAAGTCAAAGATTGCCAGTCGAAAAGTGTTGAAAAGCCGAAGCTTGGCAAAGTCAAGTAGGAGATTGGTCTGAAGGGGAAGCCACCAGGAACCCTCTCACTGGCTCACACATGGCGTTCCTTGGCCCTTCTGGCAAACCAAATGCCCACCTCCCTTTGAGCGCCAAAACCACATCCCAGTCTCCTGCTGCAGCTTGGCGTAGGCGCGCAAGGCGTCGCAGCCGAAGCCGAATCCTCCTGGTTGCCAATTTACAAGGGGAACAAAACCGGAAAACCACCCCACCCCAATGTTGGGGCCGATTTACAAGGGGGGGAAAAGGGAAAACCACCTCACCACCCCAATCTCGGGGCCAAGTCTAAAGGGGAAAGCACGGGAGAATGGGCCAATTTACAAGGGGACACCCCAATGTTGAGACTGGTTGGGCCGTTTTGCAAGGGAAAGGAGAACTGGAAAACCGGGACCCCAAGCAAGCTTGAGACAGACCCACGACTTAGACACTTAGGTACCCTCTCATTCATGGAACCTGGGGTGCTGGAAGGTCATGCAGCAAAATGGGACTCTTTCTGGTTTCATTTGAGCTTGACGGCCGGAAACCTACGAAACAGGCCCTGTGCATACTTGGCCCTTTGAGACCAACACTCTTCTGGGCTGTCCTCAGATCCCCCGCTAAAAGTCTAATTTCTAGTGGGTTAAATGGAAATCCCCACTAAACACTAAAAGGCTAAAAAGCTAAGGGGATGGCTGGGAGCCACCAAGTCTTCGAGATTGAAGAGAAATCCTGCCCCATAGCACTCCCCAAACAGGTGGGGTTTCCCTTCGCCAAAAAAAAGAAAGCGCGCCCACTAAGGGTACACCTCCTCCGTGCGGCTGCTTGGGCTTTTCAACACATCACCCGCGCATCTCGGTGCCCTGACAAGCTGGCGGCACTTGGCGGGCATCTCCTCTGGAGACGAATGGCCAGCTGCGCGGAACCCAAAAAATTGCCGCCCAGCGAGTGGCGGGCTGAGGGGCGCGGGGCAACACGAGACTCATGCCGAGCATCGCCATCGGCGGATCCGAAGCCCTGCGAAGCGGTTGTGAACACAACTGTGGCTCGGCAAGCTTAAGCGTCCATGTGGGTCATGTGGGTCATTGAGGCGGGACAACATATCTCGTCAATCAAAAAAAAAAACAGAAGCAACTTGGATGCGGACGGTCCAACTCAATTTTGGCGTCCCGCCCTGGCACTTTTCTCACCCTGGCCCACAGCTGGGCCCACAGGGACATGCCGGCACGGCTGCGGGCACCGCTATGCGGGGCTCAGCTGAAGTCGAGGCTCTGGCTGGGCATGCTCACCCTGAAGGACGCCTTGCAACTCGGGGCTTCCTCAACCCCCCGTCACAGAGTTGAAAACCCCCCCCCCCAGTCACGGAAGTAAGGGGCTTCGCCGAATATGGACCCCGGGGCAGCTTGTGGTTGGCCGGCTTCCCGCGTCTGGGACAGGGGCATCTGATGCATGCTTTGACCCAACACACAGAACACACAGAACACACAGGAGGAGAGATGATCAACCGTCTCATCTCTGTGCTTGTTTGTCTTCAATCGATTTCTATTTCTCCCTCTCTCCGCTCTATCCAGGGCTGTGAGTAATGGAATTCCATTTCTGTGATAGTTATAACGAAAAGGGACTAACCCCCCCCAATATATAAACAAGGGGATTCCCGCAAGTGTCGCAGAACTGGGTGAGAAAACTCCCCTTGATCCCATGGCTCCATCTGTTCGACGTGCTCGCGTTTCGAGGCCCGCGCCGCCACTGGGCGATGGTCGCTGGTCCTGCGAAATCGCCAAAACCCGTTCCGTGCTTTGAGAACGGAGGGGCAGAGCAGTTAACTTGTACTTGGCAGCTGTGGCTATAAACCGCTTCGGGGGACTGGCATCCATGGCAAGTGGGTTGGAAGCTAGAAGCTACAACCAGGGTTTCAAACTTAACAAATACCTTGGAGCCCAGCTACAGCGCATCACTTTTTGCAGCTCCCCACTTGCAGTGGTGTCAAGGCCTCATGCGAAACCCTAGCAATGGTGTCAAGGCCTCATGTTCAACGTGATTCACTACACGTCGAAGCAAATCCTTCCGCTGAGTTGTCTCCTCTTCAGCTCCATGTAGGCGTCGTAGCCCAGCAGTTCCACCTGGAAGTCAGGGAGTCCGCGGACTGGAGCCCGAGCACAAGGGACCACCCCGGGCGCTCAAAAGCACAGGCAGCGAAAACCCGGTCCTCCGACACGAAATCCAAAGGAAAGCAAGCTCAAGCAGCCTCATGCCCGAAAATTCCTCGTGGTTCCCATAGACGACAGGGCACTTCTTCTCTTAAACTCACGCAGGCACGGAGTCAAACGCAAAGGAAACAAGAACCGCTTGAAATGGCTGTGGGTCACAAATAGGTACCCCAAATACAACCCTGGCAAGTGGAGACATGGACCGAAACCTGTGGTCCATATCCTGGTGGTGACTAATTTTGATCCATACTCGAATAGAAAAGGCTGGGTGTGAAGCCAAGAGCCGCGCCTCCGGGGTCACCTCCTGCTGCAGCACCCGCTGTGCCACCTCTGAGGCCTATGCCAAGAGATGGGTCCAGGCCACGGAAAGTTCAGGAGGGGGTTGAACCAAAATTTCCAGGGGGAACTGTTCCCGTAAATTTACCATGGGTAACTTTCCCCATTGAGTGAAGGTCAGCTTTGGGTGGATCAAGGTTCCCTTCGGAAGCCCGAAATGAACATTAAAACGTTCCTATCAAGTGGTGAAGGTCCTCTTTTTGGTGGTTTCCCTGATGATCATGCCATGTAAAGGACATTTTGATCAATCCCCAGGTATCCCCCAACTTGAACCAAGTGAAGTTGGATTGGGATTGGCTTGGGGTGCTAGCACGGAAATCCCTCCATATCATTTTGCTTGCCTCCCGGAGTTTCGTTTTCAAAAGGGGAAACCACTCTCCGTTGTTGCTTGAGTCATGATGAAAAGCTGGCATCAAAATGGTCTTCCCAAGACCATGCAACGAATGAAAAAGGCAGCCGCACCCACTTATGGCTGGGATTGTCCATTACTATCCTTAATCTACGAATTTGATTGTGGCTCACTTGAGGCGCGTTCACAAAAGGGATTCCTTTCAGAAAGGCACCTCCTTTCCAAGAAAATTCGCTAGATCAGCTGGTACAGGTGACTTTTTAGCTGGTCCAAGTTTATCCGAGAAAGGGGAGCACCCTGAAATCCCATTTGCCGCCGCGCCGCAGGGGGTTCGAAGCGATAGATCACCCGGTCGCACCAGGCAGGCGTGCGGCTGGGGCACAGATCCCCGCTGGCCGCGTACCTCGGTCGAGGGTTCGGGGATCTTCGACCCCTGGGGCGTGCGGTTGTTTTTGAGGCGCAGCGCCCTTTTGGGGTCTCAAGGAAAACCAAAAGAGCAAGCCGAGATCGATTTTTGGAGGTCGAAATCCCGAGTTTGACACGTTTCGACGTGCTGAAGCCACTTTGGCTTGAACACCGGAGGTCTGCTTGATTGAAAAAAAGGCTTCAACACCCTCTTTGGGTTTCCCTTCAAAGGGCCCGGGTCTGTTTGTTGTTCAACCAACTTTGCCCAACCCTGGAGGAGAGGACAGCGCAACGGTAGGGGGCGGGAATTCATGCCAGTTCCAGTTCCGTGAGTGGCGGCCAGACAGTCTTTCCATGGCATCTTCCAAGTGTCATTCACCCAGGGAAGGCTGATTTTGCTGCCAAGCCTGTGGCAATCACGCACTCGCAATGTCCCATTGGGGGGGAAGGGGCTTTCGAATGGGAACTAAACATCCGTCGCCATTCGAAGGCATGCGTATTGCCAGGTGTCGACCAGCAATTGTGTCAAACAACATGATTCCCATCCCATTCATGACTACGTGTCCGATGTTCAAGCGAATTCCCTTCGTTCAGCGAAAGTGGCAACCTAAACGCAACCATAATCCATCACCCTGGCCCTGCCTCTCCCCTGCCCACATCCCTGCAAACCAGATGCTTGTAAGTTGGCGGAAAGGTCACCTCGGCCTGCACAGTGTCCAGTCGACCGAATGCCAATTCTCCGCATGCAACCCTTGAGTCAGTTGAAAGAGCCCTGGGCAGGGGAGAGACAGAGAGTGAGAGAGATAGAGAGAGAGAGAGAGAGCTCTTGAGGCTGAAAGGCAGACCTTACATTTTGAGACGGACCCAAACTCCGGAAATCAACCCTTCGCGTTGGCCATTTTGAAGGTGGATGCAAATGGCGCAAAGCCCCTCATCCGCTGATGGTGAAATTCAGCCGATGCACTCGCCGCTATCAGTGTGAGTTTCGGCCGACGGTGGTGGGCGCTTTGGTCGACAAGCCAAACCCGACCATCCCAACCGTCCCTGCCGTTCCAACCGTCCCTGCCGTCCCAACCATCCCAACCGTCGCAGCCGTCCCAGCCACGCCGACCGCCGCAACCATCCCGACCCTCCCGACCTTTCCTGCTTTCTGAACATGAACGTTCCTCTTTTCTGGATTCCGCTCTTGCGTTTTCTGAATGTGCGCTGCTGTTTCCTCAATTCATCTCCGTACGCAGCTTGTGTCTGCCTTCCAAAACTTGTTCCGCCCAAAACATGAACACATCAGAGCTCCACGCGTGCTGACCAAAGCCTGGCTTTAGAAAACCCGTTTGCGGCACCTCCACGCAGCCGTTCCCCGCCACTCAACCCCCCGGCCCCCGCCTCTCGGAAGCCCATGGAGCCTCAGATCGTGAGACCCTAACCCAAGCAGAGCGCGGAATCGGGGCATACATATAAATACATAAACAAACAAAATAATACATACGCACAAGATATACAGAATACATGTGTACATGTTTGTAAAAAAAAAAAAAAAAAAAAAAAAAAAAAAAAAAAAAAAAAAAAAAAAAAAAAAAAAAAAAAAAAAAAAAAAAAAAAAAAAAAAAAAAAAAAAAAACGCCACAGGTTCACAGATGTTTAAACCAAGATGGCCTACGCAACCGAGGTTACACGGTTCTTCCAAGGCTAGGCCTTCAAACGCCTACTGAATCCATGACGCGTCAGTGGACCGGCGACCACCGGCGACTCAGGGGCCACCAAAGCCGAAAAGCGAAATGGAAACGGAACGCATGGTTTTTCCAGCCGCTACAGGTGATGCTGTCTCACCACTAGGGAACACCTCGCCACAAAAACAGATGGTCGCCTTTTGGTCTCCCGTAAAACACACGCAAAACCAAAAAACAAAAAATGCAAAACCAAGCACCGAGATTGATCGCCCGAACAACGCCAAAAGACACAAACGAACAAACGACACACAGACACAAAAATCACTCACGGCACCTCAGGACCTACTGGACCTGCCAGAAACGGAAAAGGGTATCAAAGGCCCGCGGCCGTTAAACAGAAAAATAGGTCAAGAGGCGAAGGTGAAAAGCTGCACCCTGACAAACTCTGCACAGGTCGTCTTTCCAAAGCTCCAAAAGCTGGCAAAACAGGGCGGGTCAAATCAAAAAGTCTGGTTCAAAGCCGGAGGGATGCTTCAAAGCCCGGTCTATCGCACTTCCCTCCCTTATTTCCTCTCCCTCCCTGCCTCCCTACCTGCCCTCTCTCTCCCTCTGCGGCTCCCGCTCTCCACTCCCATCCCCTCTCTTTATCGCTCTCTCTCTCTCTCTCTCTCTCTCTCTCTCTATCTCCTACAGCATGTAGAGATTTACCACTGTGAGGCAAACGGAGCCTGAGCTTCAATACATGCGGCTCCCCCTGCGCGCAGCCTCTTCCAGTCCAGGAATCTCGCTCCACTGTCGCCACTCCACCCCCCTCAGATACCTCCCCGGCCCATTCCAAGCAAAAACCTTCGCGCATCGAGCCCTCGCCCGCCACTGACTCCGTCGGATCACCTTCCGGGGCTCCGGCGCACACAGCGCAGCTTGCCGGTGAGGAGTTCATCAAAGAGCCTCTAGGCTGCGCAACACGACTTCCAGCATTTGCGCTGGGTTCGACGTGATTCTTGTTTGTATAGCTATTAATTCCACAATCAGTTGGTGTAAGAATGATCCAATTGTGTAATGCGTTTTCATACCATTTGATTGGCCTTGCTTGTGGGAGCAGGTTGGCATGAGACCACAACGAAGCCTACCCACTTTTGAAGGAAACCCAACCTCTGCAAATCTGAAAAGAACAAGCCCAAAGTGAAGTACTTGCAGGATCCAGCAGGGGCATAGACAGAGTGCTCGAAAAGGCTCGAGTGCTCAATCCATTGATACAAGAAGCAAACGGTGGCAAACGGAGCCGGAGACCCCCAAAATACGACGAATCCTCCAAAATCCATTCTTCCAAGGTCGACCCACAAGGTCACAGCATTCGTATCAAATGTGAGATCCCAGAGCATGGCTAGTGATGCTTTGTATATCCCTCAAACCACCCGCCACTTGCAATCCCGCGAGTCCTTACGTAGACCAAGTGGACCCTCCCTTCGCTTACAGAAAGGCGACGGGAACTTCGGGCGATGCAAACGTCGCTAACCTGACATCACCGACTTGTGTGTTTTGCAAATGTGGACGGGAGCCACATCTATGTCCATTCAAAGGTGTTCCCTATTCAAGCTTCTCCACAAATGTGGCAGCCCCCGTCTTTTGCACTGGGCTTCCCTTTGAAACAACCCGGGAAAAGGAGGGCCCTCAAAAAAAAACCGGGGTAGAACCCATACACTACTGGCCAGCTCCTTGCCGCGCAAAGCCCCAGCTCACCCCGACTCCCCCTCAGACTCTAAGATCCAGCCAAGCAACAGCCACGCCTCGGGCGGTCCTGCGGCGTTCTCTAAAGGAACCCCTGGAAATTCCTAACAACACCTATGCTGCAGAGAATGCTGTTCTGATTCACCTGTCTCTTGCAGGGCAATTCAAGCGCATCGCAAATTCGGTGCAAGAGTCCTTGCGGGCAAACGTTGGGCCATGCCGGTTGTTGAATGCGGGTTTTCTGGTGCATCTTTGCATCATCAGGGTCTTCACTACGCCTAGGTAGACTTTAACTCAGGGGTTTCCTTTCTGGGAAATCAACCACCTTTGGGTGTCATTCTACTTCCTCTCTTTTTTCAATTGTGTCACAGTCTTTCCAAAGGTATGTGGTATCGCTAGACACTGGGTCTAGCCGGGTAAACCCTACGCTACAAATGAATTCTGCGTATGCACGCTGCACTCTGGAACTGGATGACTGGGTCTAGTCGACCTCCTCCATCTTGGAAGCCTCATCGGCCGCGCCCTCGACCTCCTCCAAGGGAGGAAGGTCATCATCATCGCCCAGGCCCTCGTCGTCGTCATCGATGCTGAGGCCCAGCTTGATCATGCGGTGGATGCGGCCCGCGAACTGCGTCGGCTCATCCAGGTTGAAGCCAGAGGTGAGGAGCGAGGTGTCGAACAACAGCCAGATCAAGTCCTTCACTGTCTTGTCGGACTTGTCAGCCGCTGCCTTCTTCTTCAGCTCAGACATGATCGAGTGCTTCGGGTTCACTTCCATAGTCTTCTTGGAGACCATGTAAGAAGTCATGGAGTTGTCACGAAGGGCTTGCGCCTTCATGATACGCTCCATGTTGGCGGACCAGCCATACTCAGAGGTGGTCAGCACGCAAGGAGAGTCAGCCATGCGCGAGCTCACCATGACCTTCTCAACCTTGTCACCCAGCACCTCCTTCATCAGCTTGGTCAGCGGCTCAAACTCCGCCTTCAGCTCCTCCAGCCTCTTCTTCTCGTCCTCGTCATCGATGTCCAGACCTTCCTTGGTGGTGCTCTTCAGCTTCTTGCCGTCGAACTCCTTCAGCTGCTGCACGCAGTACTCGTCCACTGGGTCTGTCATGTAGATCACCTCGATGCCCTTCTTGCGCAGGGTCTCCAAGAAGGGCGACGACGACACCGCCTGGATGCTCTCGCCAGTGATGTAGTAGATGTCGTTCTGGCCCTCCTTCCTAGGCTAGAGTTAGGACCCCAGGAGAAACAAAAAAACGATTTTGCCGGGTTAGGGGAAACAGAGGGACCCCCCCAAAAAAAAGGGTGGGGAACTAATTCTGGGGAAGCTTCATGCGGTCCACGTACTCTTTCAGGCTGATCTGCTCGTCGCCCGACTTGGAGGTGTGGAATCGCAGGAGCTCCGCGACCTTGGTGCGGTTCGTCGAGTCCTCATGCACGCCCAGCTTCAGGCACTTGCCAAACTGCTCGTAGAACTTCTTGTAATCATCCTCACTTCTTTTTTTTTGTGCTTGATTGACGTGGCGTCTTGTGACGCTTCCGCCATTGTGTCTGCGGAAAATCCGCATCCCAACCTGGCGGCCATCAGGCCGCTTGCCTCTCTTCCCAACAAATCCTACACACACAGTCCCTGGGCAGAGGCCGCCGGAAGTGGGACCGGTCAACAACACTCATGCATGCGACCGGTAATCATCCTCACTCTTTTTTTTTGTGCTTGATGGGTCGAAGAAAACAAGGATTATGTTTGTTTCCTTCGACTTCGGCCGATTTCGAGCTTGCCGCTGATCTGCCGTGTTGCTATGCTGCTGTGCTTGTGACTATGCGCTCCCCCGCTGATAGACGAACAGGACTGCGGACTGCACTAGACAACAACAAAAAATCTACACACAAGAGCGTCATCGTTTGATGGCTATTCTAAGTTGCCAAATCCGGCTCCAAAAAATCAACATGAGTATGATGTCTCTCTTCAACAACGACATCGTGATACGTCATACTACTGATGAAAGTATGCATTTTCTACGGTCTCCTTCTTCTCGGCAATTTCCGCGAACATCTCCAGGCACTTCTTCACAAGATTCTTCTTAATCACCCGCAGAATCTTGTTCTGCTGGAGCGTCTCACGGGAGATGTTTAAAGGCAAGTCCTCGGAATCCACCACACCCTTCACAAAGTTGAGCCACTCCGGCATGAGCTCATCACAGTCGTCCATGATGAAGACTCGGCGCACATACAACTTGATGTTGTTGCGCTTCTTCTTGGTCTCGAAAAGGTCGAAAGGCGCGCGACGAGGAACAAAGAGCAGGGCCCGGAACTCCAGCTGGCCCTCGACGCTGAAGTGCTTCACTGCAAGATGGTCCTCCCAGTCGTTGGACAACGACTTGTAGAAGCTCGCGTACTCCTCATTGGTCACGTCCTCTGACTTGCGCATCCACAGAGGCTTGTTCTTGTTCAATTGCTCCCACTCATGGGACACCTCCTTCACCTTCTTCGTCTTCTTCTTCTTCTCCTCCTTCTCCTTCTCCTCGTCCACCTCCTCGATCTTGGGCTCGTCTCCGGCATCCTCCTCCTTCTTCTCTTCCTCCTCCTCTTCAGAGTCGGTCACCTCCTTCTCCTTGGACTTCTCCACGTAGAGCTCGATGGGGAAGCCAATGAATTCGGAGTGCTTCTTCACCAAGTCCTTCAGGCGCCTCTCCTCCAGGAACTCCGACTGGTCCTCCTTGAGGTAGCAGATGATCTTCGTTCCGCGCTTGATTTCGCCATGCACGAGTTCGGTGTCCTTCTGAACGGTGAAGGATCCGCCGGCCCCCGACTCCCAGATGTACTGCTCGTCGTCATTGTGCTTGCTGATCACGCGCACCTTGTCGGACACAAGGTAGGCACTGTAGAAGCCAACGCCAAACTGCCCAATCATGGAGATATCTCCGCCAGCTGCCATAGCTTCCATGAAGGCCTTGGTGCCGCTTTTGGCAATTGTGCCCAAATTGTTGATAAGCTCATTCTTCGTCATGCCGATGCCAGAGTCCTCGATGGTCAGGGTCGAGTTGGTTTTGTCCGGAATGATCTTGATGAAGAAGTTGGGCTGGGCCTCAATCTTCTCAGGGTCCGTAATGCTCTCATACCGGATCTTGTCAAGTGCATCAGATGCGTTGGAGATCAGCTCGCGCAAGAAGATCTCCTTGTTGCTGTAAAAAGTGTTAATGATGAGGCTCATCAACTGCTGGATGTCAGCATTGAAGGCGAACGTTTCCGCCATGATTGGCCGAATGGACACTCTGAATTGTCGACTGTCTAAGCAAAACCTCAGTGCTCCTGACTTGAGCTTGGGCCAAACAAGAGGAGCCCCATGCGTCAAACCAAACCGACCCCCGACCTGGTGGTTTTCCCTTGAAGCTTCCCTTTAAACCGACCCGACGCATGCATCCTCAAACGCCACCCTCCCCACAACCCAAGGCCTCGAGGCATGCCCGCCGGGTCAGGCAAATCCGCGAGGCGGGAGTTCATGTCCCCCAGCACAACCTTAGGCGGCTAAGGCGTGGGCTGCAAACACGGCTGTGTGTCAAAAATGGGTACCCCAAATGGAACCCTGGTAGAAGGAAACATGGACTAAAAACCTGCGTCCCCTGGCGCAGCCACACTTCGTTCGACAATCCACCAACCCAGAAGCCTCCCAGTAAAAAGGCGACAGGGCAGCACAGAACGCTCCTTTCAGGAGCTGCTGGCACGATCTCGGGCGAAGTTCCTGGAGCCCATTGCCCTGACGCACTGCGGGGTTCACGACCACTTTCACAATGGACGGCAGACCACGTCAAGCGCTCTAGCTTCTAGGTCTGCGCCCAATATGCTGCAGTAATCAAAAGATAAGCGCGATGCCAGAGTGGAGGGCGGCCATCAGGCAGCGTGGACCAGGGGTGCTGCCTGTGCCAATGCAGTGAAGAGCAAGTACTAGTGGGGATACAATCCAAAAACACGGGGGCGGCAAAACAAGAAGTCATGGGGCCGGCTTGCGCCAAATGCCTTGGATCTGCCTCAGCAAACGTCGGCAAAAATTTGGCAACTTGCGCAAGTTGCTTGCAGCTTTCTGAGTCATCAAGCGTCAGCGCGCAAAGATCCAGCTGGGTCAACCACCTGCCTGATGTCATTGTCGGCAAATGTGGGACGGCGCAGTCGCCAGTAGAAAGCTGCTTGCCATGTGTGGACACCTTGCAACACTGACAAAGGACGCGCCCAGCACATACATCTGTGCTCACATCAGAAAGGTCCCAGCTTCGCTGCGCAGTCTCGTCGTTGGAGGAAAATGCCCTGCGGAGCATAAGAGAGCGTCACGGGAAGGTGAGGCTTCGCCACATCCGGCGGTTGCACCACGTCATGATTGTGGGGGCGCCTGCGCGGGACATAACTCGGCTGGACTGGATATCGCTGCGAGGCATCTGCGAGAACTTCTTGCGGGCTTCGGTTGCATGGAAGAACGGCTTGGCTTTTTCCTCAGGTACCAACAAACTGCGAATCGGAGCAGGCTTTGTCATTTCCAACAAGGGCCGGCTGCACCCTCTCCGCCGCGGCCCTCGGTCGAATCATGGACTGCTTTAAGCCTCGGCTCTCCTTCTTCGGCGCCGTCTTGCTGCAAACACGCTCCCGGGGTTGGTAGAGGACGAGGATGTGCCCTCTCCTTTGGTATCTTGATTGTGCGTGCGCAGGGCGTGCTCCAGCTCACTCTCAGGGAGCTGGCACACATTGTGGCCAGGTCCCGGCACACATTGTGGCCAGGTCGCGGCACCCAGACGCAAGGAATCGCTTAGCCATGGCTCCCCCGCAATCGAAGTCGGGTCTGTGGAAGTCTGTCGTGCCAAGCCCATGGGACCACACTTGCGCACGTGAGGCGTCAATTCTCTTTGCGCTTGGGCTGCACAAACACAACGACCCGGTGAAAAACTAGGGGAAGCCCTACAATGTGCTCTCAAACAATTGCGGCCTCCATGCCTCCACCCTACAAACACAAACAAGCAAGCCAGTGTGCAACCAACCAACCAACCAACCAACCAACCAACCAACCAACCAACCAACCAACCAACCAACCAACCAACCAACCAGACTGCCAGCCAGCCAGCCAGCCAGCCAGCCAGCCAGCCAGCCAACCAGCCAACCAGCCAACCAGCCAACCAGCCAGCCAGCCCACCAACTAACCAAACAAGCAAAGCACAGCACAGAAAAGCAAAGCAAAGCAAAGCGAAGCAAAGCAATGTAAAGTAAAGTAAAGTAATTAATCAGTTAATTAATTAAGTAACTAACCAACCAACCATTAAGCCAGCAAGCCAACCAACCAAACAAGCAACCAACCAACCAAACAAGCAAAGCACAGCACAGCAAAGCAAAGCAAAGCACTGCAAAGCAAAGCAAAGCAAAGCAAAGCAAGCAACCAACCAGCCAGCCAGCCAACCAAGCAAGCAAACAAACCAAACAAACAAACAAACAAACAAACGAACGAACGAACGAACGAGCCAAACGAGCAGTGCAAAACTTCCCCGCCGAGTTCTCGGCCGTGAGGTCATGCTCCGCGGCGCAGAACACGGAGGCCCGGTGGAAGCCGTTCTTGGCGGGCCGCGTGGACCCATTCCGCGACACTCCCTGGAACGCGTAGGCCAGCACCTGCCGGTCTTTTCTGGCATGGCTTGAATTGTCGGAGGCGCCCCGTTTCAAACCCGGACCAAGGGGTCTCCCTTGCTTAGAACCTCCCAGTCCCATGCAACTATGAAACTTGGTGGCCTGAAAACCCCCCAAAAAAAAGCGCCAACAGACCCCAAGTGAGATGTTTGACAGGACAGGGGACAAAGAAAAGCCTTGTTTCTGCCCTATTCGCACAAACTTGCCCGGACCGACAGGATACTTTGGACCAACCTCTGGGTTTGTCACAATAGGAGAACCCAAAAAAAACGCCCGAGTGATCTCCGAAAAGTCCCCATGGGCTTCCAGTGAATTCACCGAGCCCCCCCCCCGCCGTGACTCCCCCCTCCCCCCGTTTTTTCGGGGTCCCGTCGGCGCCGCGCGCCTCCCGGAGGTGCGCATCCCGGTCCTCCGCCTTGTTCTGGCCCGAGGGCAGATGCACCTCACGGAGAAAGGAAGCCTTCCGGGGACAGAGATAGCCTTCCGTGTGTGTGTGTGTGTGTGTCTTCTTTTCTTTCTTTCTGCTTCTTTGATGATTATGCTTGTTTTCTTTTCTTTGAAGGGGGGGGGGAGGTATCGGGGAGCTTTGGTGGTGCGTGGGAATCGGGAATCTGAGTTGGGACTTTTGGTAGCATGCGCTTTCTGAATCTACTTGCGACCTTTCGTGGACATCATTTTCCTGAGAATTTGATGTCAAAGAACTGCTGTTGAGGTGGTCCCGGGTCCCCAGTGAAACTCGGCCGAATGGACAATTGAACCAAAAAGCAGGGCCCTGCCTTCGTTTCCCTTTGAAACATACAGCTTGGAATCTTGTTCATCCTTCAACCCGAACTTGGGATTTGAGTCTCGCTTGCCGCCATTCAAAAAACCGGCAAAGGTATCGGAGGATGCCAAACCTTCACCCAGCTGCGGTGCGGGCTCTGGTAACAAGAGCACAAAAGAATCGACATCCAACAGGCCAACCACGAACCAAACCAAGCTCTTGCTTTTGACTCAAAGCAGCTTCTCATCGTGCCAAACCACAACCGCGCCCGCCAAACGACTACTAAACACCACCGCCAACGACAAAAAACAACGCCAGACAGACACAAAGACAGACAGACACAAAGACAGAAGGACAGAAAGACAGAAAAATAAACAAACAACCAAACAAACAAGCAAACAAACAAACAAACATGCAAACAAACAAACAAACAAACAAACAAACAAACAAGCAAGCAACCAACCAACCAACCAAGCAAACAAACAAACAAACAAACAAACAGACTCCAAGGCACATTTAGGAAGCACATGGACATGCTGCCCAGCAGGAAGCGCACGCAGAGCCCGCCCTTGTTGCCTCCGAGCCCGTCCACCCCGGTCTTCACCCGGTCACAGTCGATCTCCCCGATATGGTGCTCCAGACGATCCACCGCATAGGACAGAAGCGACAAGCCCACCATGCCGAAGCCTCAAGGCTGCGGTGGTTCAAAAAAAAAATGGAACCACAGGATGGCGGTCTTCTAAATGACGTAATTCCCAAAATGGGGGAGCTCCCTGGTAAACAACATGGAAAGCATTGGAACATGGTGGTATGGTAGTATGGTAGTAGGTTCATAAAACTGGTCAAGTTGGTGTGGCAAGCGGAAACCTGCGGTCCATATCCTGGTGACTTAATCTGACCCATACCCAACTGAGATTTTGCTGAGCAGTTTCGGGGCTGCAAAACGCCGCATGTAGGCGGGTGTGAAGATGTTGGAAAGGGGATTGTCTGGTGGACATCAGATTTACCTGCTGGGCTTGTGTCCACCAACCAGGGCCATGTGGGCCACAGTCATGGGGGAGCTGAAAGGAAACCTTGTAATGGTCCGAACATTGCCAAAAAGGGTTTGAGGACCGCTCTCTGGCAGCTCAAGAGAAAGGGTATGGGTTTATGTTTCCTGCAATCGGGCTAAAGATGCGGCCATAAACCACCGAGGCCGCAGAAGCGGGTGGCTCCAAAAGTGGAGGTCCGCACAAAATGCCTTGTTCGGTGGATTGCCCAATGTTCCGCTGAAGGAAAAATCCTTGGCGAGAACCGTATGGGCCCTTCATTTGAGAAAGTTGAAGCCGCCAAAATCCGCCGACCCCATCCGCTCTTAGCCCACTCGCACACAGGAGACCGGCGTGGCATACAACGAGCTATGCGCCATATGGGAAAAACCGCATTTTCGGAACAAATGGATTCCCAGCACCTGCCCTCATAGGGCTGTCCGCAGGGCTAGTTTCAGCAACAAGCCAATCAGTCCCCAGAGATTAAAGCACGCGCAGTTGGGGGATCCTTGCGGAATCCGCAGCCAAACCACAGAGAGCGCGTGTTGCTTGCGGCATGTAGTACCAGGATTTCGAGGACCCCGGCTAGGCGCTGCAAACTGTGCAGTTTTGGTCCAAAAATGTGAGCCACAGTCCATAGTCCTTCTTCAAAACAACTTGGGGTGGGAATGGGTCAGCAGGGGCTCATGTTATCTCTTTCCTGAAACACAAATCATGACAAGACATTCAGCCACTCAAGGCCTCCAAATACCCCCCTTCCTACAGACTGTCTGGCAAAAGGTGTGGGTACGACCTAGATCGCGATGGGCCTTTCTGCGTTGCAAAAGATGTCCGCCCCCCCCCCCCCCTCCCCCGGTTCCCTACAGGTACAATGCAACAGGTATGAGTTCCAATTGGGGCTGCTTTCGTGGATCACACTCAGGCAAGGTGCAAGGTCCTGAGATGAAACGAGCAGACAACACCTGGAGGGTATCAAAACGCCCCAACAAACTGCTCTCCCAGCAAAAAAGAATGATTAAGAAAAATAAATAGAAACAAACAAAAGATCAGACCAGCTGCTGCAAACCTTCAAGTACCGGCGCCCGGTGGAGCTTAGAGCGGCCTGGCGCAAGCGCCCCCTTTTGGTCCGAAACATGGGGGCAGAGCGACCTGCTGAGCGTCCGAACACATGGCTATGACTCAAAAACTGGTACCCCAAAACGGCACCTTGATTAAAACCTGCATAATCCTAGCTCGTTCATTTTGAGCCAAGCCCAAAAGCGCCCTCTTTTTGGCCTCGCAAGTGGGCGAAGTCCGACCAACGAGAAAGTGGATTTAAGGAAGCCAAAAGGAAATCAAAGGTCCCATTCCAACAACAATGCACTAACTACAATGAACCACCAACCTCAATTCAGGTTTTCCTAAATCCCTTAAAGTAGAGAACCTTTGGGTGAGCCCATTTTACGGCGACAGGGAGAACATACTCAGGCATCCAAGAAAAAGACAAACGCACCAGTGGGAAACAAACCTGCGGGGCATCGGGGCATCTCGTTTCCCTCACGTGAGTTGCCCTCGATGGACCCGGTCATGTTGGTTCTTTCCTTCGCACTTTTAGCCGGGGACTTGTCACTGCGAACCCCTCAGCGGACAACAGTCAATGGCCAAAACGGGGCCGCCCACTCCTCCTGTTCCGGCCAGGGTTCTGCCTTCCTTGGGGTCAGCTTGGCATCAAAAACCATCAACCCCTGGTTTTTGTGTGAGAAAAATGGGCATGGGTCAAAACTAAACCACCTGGATATGGACCACAGCTTGTCCATGGTTCCATTTACCCTACCAAATTGAGCAGTTTTCTTACCCTACCACCATACTGCCATGCTACCATACTACCATACTACTACCAATGTCCCGGTTTCAGTCCGTTTCTCCAGTTGTTTCCATCCAGAAAGTTCCCCCCTTTTTAGGGGAATTACCCCATTTTTGAGACCGCCGCCAGACGCCGAGCGCTCGCGCCTCGATGCGCTTCTCCAGCTCAGCTTGGCGCTCCTCGTGGCCGTCGGTGTTCAGCAGCATGGACATGGGGCCCAGGTCAACCAGCTCCTCGCCGGGGGGAAAGGAGGCCATGAGAGGCGAACAGCCGCAGTTTCGTTTGTTTGATCGTTCGATATGTGGATATATTACTTGTTTGTTTGCTTGTTTGTTTGCTTGCTTGTTTGCTTGTTTGCTTGCTTGTTTGGTTGGATGTTCGTTTGTTTGTTTGTTTGTTTGGTTGGTTGGTTGGTTGGTTGGTTGGTTGGTTGGTTGGTTTGTTTCATGTTTGTGTGGTGGCGGGAATTAAGTTTTGAAGGCAAAAGACTCCCCCAAATTGGGCGAACCAAGCCCGCCAGTTCGGGAGTGGCGTTGCTATCTTGTTGCTCCCCTGATGTGCGCACATGCGACAAATGAGAGCCACCGACGCCAATCATTCCAACGGGCTCAATCCTGCCAGCCTCGGGCTTTTAGCCTCGGCTAAATTTTCCCCATGGAGTTTGGGGGAGTGCTCAAGCTCGTTTCAGAATGAGTAGCGCAAGCACGGAAAGCGCGAAGGTTAGCAAACCAAGCCAGGAATCAACGAAAATGCGCACAGGAGCAAGGATGCTCACAAACGTCGCCAGGAAAACATCCATTCCGAGCAAGACACCTGAGCGTTCATGTGTCCATGTGGTGCCATCTCAAGGTCTTGTTTGCTGGTGTCAATATCTTCCGCTTTTGGGTGACACCCGTCTCTTGCTACAAAGCAACAACTGGCACAAAGGCGATGGGATTGCTTGAAGGATCCAGGGGGCAGCAGGTCTTGTGCTCTCCATCTCAGGGGACTGCGGCCCAAGGAATTGAGGGGGCCTTAGAAGGCGAAACAAATCGCCGCAGCTTTCTCCAAAGGAACCCACAGAAACGCCCAGTTTCTTCTTGGCTTGACCTTGAAAAACCAAACCACCCACAAAACAAGCGGCTGCTCCAAATACCAAAGAGACCGACCCCCCGAAACGTCTCAGGTTGCGGCCCAAAAAATCTCCCCACGCCTGGATGCCGATGACGTAGAGGTCGGCGGCCTGGTTCTCCGGGAAGAGCCACAGGCCCAGGTCGTCCTCGGGGTCCACGGGGCACCCATGCAGGTTCCAGGTGCAAACCCGCAGGGAGATCGCGCCTCGGACCGGCGTAAACAGAGGCGCTGGGGTTTGGACCACGACAAAACGAGGAAAACCGAGGGTTCTCTTTCAAGTATCAATACCCCACGGGAGAAGTATCCCTGCTTTCCTCCTCGCCCGCCGATTGACCCGCGATTTGTGTCAAAGCAATGTTTGCCTGAGGGTGAAGATTGTCAAAAAGGAAGGGGGAGCTTTTGGTGAATTTAATGCTTACCCTGCCAACAAGTTAACAGACCCATGGGTGACTCCAATTCTGCCACATAATGCTTAACAATCTGATCCTGAAAAACCTGTACAAACCATGGGGGGTCCTGCGTTCAACTCTTGACGATGGTATACCGATGTATATATATATATATATATGGTCACCCCCCCTGCATGACCTACCGTTGTCTTTCAAAAAGTCGTTGGGGACCATTAGCAGACAATAAAAAAGTGAAAAAAAACACCTGTTTTTATGGTGTTCGATTAAAACACAACACAGTCAACCATTGAAAAATTAAGAAAAACCAGTGTGGTTTGATGTTTTTAGCAAAAAATGTGCAAAAACCCATGGTTTTTTTAGAAAAACAGGAAAGCATTCAAAAAAACAAGTGTAAAAACTGATATGTTTTTCAGATAGATCCCCAAGTCAAAAACTAAGAATTCCCTGGGTTTTTGATGGTTTTGCAGTAAAACCTTCAGAATTCCTTGGGTTTTTAGCCACATAAAACCAAGAACACCTCGAGAAAACCAAGAATCCAAGAATCCAAGATTTTCAGGTAGATGTTTGGTCCACTACAAAATCTTGGATTCTTGGTTTTCTCGAGGTTTTCTTGGTTTTCTTGGTTTTACTTGGGAATTCTTGGTTTTCCAGCAAAAAACCAAGAATTACTGAGGTTTTTTGGATTTCCAGCAAAAAACCAAGAATTACTAGGGTTTTTGGATTTCCAGCAAAAAACCAAGAAAACCTCGAGAAAACCAAGAATCCAAGAATCCAAGATTTTCAGGTAGATGTTTGGTCCACTACAAAATCTTGGATTCTTGGTTTTCTCGAGGTTTTCTTGGTTTTCCTGGTTTTACTTGGGAATTCTTGGATTTCCAGCAAAAAACCAAGAAATACTAGGTCTTTTTTGGATTTCCAGCAAAAAACCAAGATTTACTAGGGTTTGTTTGGATTTCCAGCAAAAACCAAGAATTACTAGGGTTTTTTTGGATTTCCAGCAAAAAAACAAGATTTACTAGGGTTTTTTTGGATTTCCAACAAAAAACCAAGAATTCCCAAGTAAAACAAGGAAAACCAAGAAAACCTCGAGAAAACCAAGAATCCAAGATTTTGTCGTGGGCCAGACATCTACATGAAAATCTTGGATTCTTGGATTCTTGGTTTTCTCGAGGTTTTCTTGGTTTTCTTGATTTTACTTGGGAATTCTTGGATTTCCAGCAAAAAACCAAGAATTACTATGGTTTTTTTGGATTTCCAGCAAGATTTACTAGGTTTTTTTTAAAAAAATTTCCAGCAAAAAACCAAGAATTCCCAAGTAAAACAAGGAAAACCAAGAAAACCTCGAGAAAACCAAGAACTCAAGATTTTGTCGTGGGCCAGACATCTAAAACAACAGAAATACCAGCACCAACTGAAGACGAAGAAGAAGAACCACAAAAAGATAACTTTGAAAAAATAAAATCTTAATAATATCATATATAATGGGTATTGGTAAAAGTAAAAATAATGAAAATAATAGTTTGGAAGACATTAAGAATTTAAGTATAGATGAAAAAACACGAGCAGACACTTTAATTATTAAATCTCTTCAAGAATGTGTGACACGAATTGAGAAACTAGAGAAAGAAAAATCTGACAAATTAATATATAAACTTCCTGCCTTACAATTTTGCAATGCTTCGTTAATTTAAATTAACAATATTAACATATAATAATATTATTAATTGCTATTATAATCTGTCATTTTATCCTCTGGTATTGTTGTTGAAGTAGTACTACTTATATCATCTATTGAATCTTCTTCATCAACAAAATTGTCTTGAAATCTTAATAATTCCTCGTCTGTTGCCCTTCTTTTCAATACTTTATAAATTTTATGTATCCAAGAATTAGTATGAAAATTACAATTACCTCTACGATAAAATCCACCACATCTACATAGTTTCATTGGCATATTACTATATTATATAAAATTAGAATATCTTTATTCATCATTCGTAATTTGAAATGCCTGTTCAAATCTGATATGAAACATTTTGTTAATGTATTTAGCATTCATATGCACGTAGAAGAAACTACAAGGTGCGTCTTTAACGGCTTGATGATACATATCTAATAATTGCTGTTTATCAACAATGGCGCTATTTTCTTCAATGAAACTCATTAACTCACTTGCATTTTTCAACCTAAAAATATATAATGAACTGGCATTTAAACGAATGATAGGCACTGAAACATTATGGTTTTGTGTTGAACAAATTACACTTACTGCATCGTGCCTGCCTCTTGTAAAAAGTCCGTGTAATAATTTACTATATCTAACAAATTTAGGATCGTCTGCGTGGTCATCTACAACGATTAATATTGAATGCGTGGTCATCTATAACGATTAATATTGAATGTAGTTTCTTTATCTTTTTAGACTTCATATAATTAATTATTTTCTTCTGTCGTTCAATTACATTTTCTAAATCACTTGGATTATAATTATCAAAATAAATTTGTTCTTTTTCATCATCCACGTGCAATTCATCCCTGATGTATTTTTTAACTTCTGTAAAAGTTGGGTCATTATGAACGCTGGGGGAAAATATAAATATTCTTGCAAATGAATTTCTATAAACATTCAAGATAAGGTTTTGGACTAAAACTGTTTTGCCTCCCGTCGATGAAGCAACTATAATACTTCTAAATGGTAATTTTAGCACGTGCTCATATTTGGATTGATTGAATTCATATTCAGTTATGTTTATTGGTTTTATTATTGGGACATCTGTCATAGTTGATATTAAAGAAATATAGAAAATTATATTTAAAAAATAATTTGTCATTACTAGTAAATGGAACATCATTATGTTATGAGTGGCGGTGAATAACATAATGGAACAGGTGTTCCATTGCTTCAATCAATAAGCATTGAAGATTGTGATTCGGGCACGAGCCTGTGCCCAGGCAATGGGTAAGTTGGGGTAAACAAGCCACAAAAGAAAGGTTCCCCAAAAGCAAACCAATCCCCGGTCCCAAAGATCAGGGTTTCCCACACACCAGAGAACAACAACCAAAGGAAATCAAACCAAACAAGAAAAGGGTAAACCCGCAACCTTGGTCGACAACAGGCCGCACGACTGGTCCCTACCAACCTGGCGGCGGCCCGAGGTCTCTTTCTCCCCCGAGATGCCGTCGGTCGACGCAGGGGTTCGGCGACGCCCATTCGAGGCGCGACGGAACCCAAAACTTGAGCCAAAACACCACAGGTCGGTCACTAACGCGACGTCCCTGATGATGATATGAACCATGGCTAATCACACCCCCCTCACGAGGAGCCCGTCATATGACGGGTGGAGCGTGCCATTTACTGATAGGATTTAACTGCTCGCATGCGTCCGCAAACAGCTGGACACTACCGCCGTCAGCGGTGGAGCAAACCCACAAAGGCAGTTGCGCGACATCCCGGGCATTAAATTCCCGCCACCACCCCGAATTAATCGGGGTAACGCTGTCCAACAAACCTTGTGGAAAAGTCCACATGACGACATTAGGTCACAACTGTTTGCATCAACAATGCAAGAAGTTTAATTCTTATCAGAAGCCATGAAATAAAAGATAACGTATGTCCATTAGTACCCTCGCCTAACGGCAAGAGGTACCCCTGACCATGCGTACCTGAACAATGCTTGAATTCCGCAAACCCGGGAGTAACCCCCCATCAGTTTGCTTTCCCTCTCACTCACACTGCTTCCTGATGAACACGTCCAGCAGCCCAGCAGCGGTATGGGAGAGACATGACCTCCGCGCCTCAGCGGTCCGGGAGGAACATCATCACCTCCGCACCGCGCCGACCATTGGAGAATGGACGCAGGCCTATCGGCCGCAATCCTCGTGACTCAGCCTACCGGCTATCGTCACGTCTCCTCCGGTCACGTCCACCCCGCGCACGGTCCCTATCACGATCCCTTTCGGATCTCCTGCGATCATCCCGCCTTCGATCTCGCTCCCGATCGAGTGAATCATCATCACGACGATCACGAGCATCGTCCCTCCTCCTGTCGCGATCATCCTCGCGCCGCGGACGGTATCTGCGCCTCCTCGACTCTCTGGAATCCCTGGTGTCCACGGTCCTAACGGACCTCCGAGAAGGAGTGCGGGAAACATCCGATTCTCCTCCCAGATCGAGAGTTCGTCACGATCTGGTTGAGAGCCTCCAGTGCCGACATCCTCACCGTTCCTGATGAAGTCCCTGACCTGCTTGTTCAGCACTCTGTTGGTGGAGATCGACAAGAAAGCGTCCACCACCGAACTCTCAGGCAGCACCAGGAAGTGACCCTCCACCGGGCTCGCCGCAGCCCGCTCAGCAGACTGCAGCCGGATCTCCCCGCCTTCAGGCTTCTTTGCCAACGCCTTGGAGGCCGTCAAAGGCGCTACCGCATCCTTTGCCGAAGATCTGCCAAGCGCGGAGTGAAGATCATCCCCGCTAGCTTCTCTCGCTGCCGCACCTGGTCTGCTGTCGACGTCGCCAGGCCTCGTGGACGCCTCCCGCTTTGTCGACTCCTTCGCAGCCTCGTCGGGATCCCAACGGGACTTCCTTTCTCTCTTCTGCCCTTCGGCCGACCCGCGGCTACCGCCGGGAGCGTCACCTCCGCCTGTCTTCTCCTTCTTGACCTCAACCTTCGGTTCGGCCTGCTTCGTCTCCTTAGCCACAGCTTTTGGAGCCGGAGCACTCTTCGCCTCAGATGCTGAAGCAGCCTTCCCTCTCGGCTCGGCCTTAGGAACCGGGGTCATTTTAGCCTTGGCACTCGGCCTGGCCCCTTCAACCACCATCTCGGCCCAAGACTTCTTCGGCTGAGCTGCTGCTGTATCAACCTCCATCGGAGCAGGTCCAGCATCATCCTTCGCCTTTGGGACAGATGGGCTACCGCCCTTACCAGATCCTTTACCTGGCACTTCACCTGATTTTGGTGGTGGGCCGGAAGGACTACCGCCCTTACCGCCCTTTTCCCCTTTCTTCCCTTTTCCTTTTCCGCCCTTGGGGACCGGCTCCTGCTTGGGACCAGGACCCGGCGCAGCATGATGCACCGATTGGAGTCCCTCGATGTCCACGTTCAATGGTTCGGGTTGACGACCGTCAAGAACCGTCCTCACCCTTTCGTCACTAACGTAGACGAACGGGTCACGGAAGGGTGCGGGAGGCTCCGACTGTCCGGCGCTGATCGCCTTCTGCACCTTGGCTATCGCCTCCTTCAACCTCTTCTTCTCATCGTACCCTGTCTCCGATACCATGTACTTCCTGAGCTGCGAAATCAACGCATGACTCTCCAGGATGTCCACGTCCTTTCGATGGGTCGGGTACAATGGGGTCAGATGACCAGCCGCGGAACCAATCACGTATGCCATCGGAATATAGAATGACAAGTACGTGTCATGACGAGCGAACTTCCTAACGGAAGTCGTCATACGCCTACCCCACTGAGCAGCGTGTCTTGGGTTGGCCCGGAAGTACTCCGTGACCGACTCAAATCTATCGACTTGGTTGGTCTTGATCAGGTGCTTCGCCACCCACTTCTCCACGAACGCATCCGAGGCCGAAATCCCGGACACATAGGAGAATTGGAAGAGCACCTTCGCCAGCTCATCCCACGCCGCATCGACACCTCCCTTGTCTTCACCAAGATAAGGGGGAAGTCTGATGCCGCTCTGCACCGTCATCCTCAGATCGGATGCCATCGAATAGGAAATCAAATTCCTCTTGATGACTCCGACCACTTCGGAGGGAATCCTCCTGGGCTTGAACTGCCCCATGGTCCTCACCCACTCCGGCACGATGTGGCACGTTTCGAAGTCCTTTTCCTCCGCGTTGGGGATAAAGTTCGGGTAAAAGACCGGGAGCGCGCACCCGGGACACAAGTGCATCCCATTTGGCATCAATTCTGCGCACCTCAAGCAGAACGTGGCAGTCACATTCAGCCTGATCTCTTCCCGTGATCGCCTGTGCTCTCCCCTAACGGGGGTGAAGTCACCGTAGTCCCATGCCCGATGGTACACTATCGTGTAATCATCGTACATATATGCCGCCTTCCAAGCCCCCATGTGGATCTCGTTCCTAACGGCAAGAGTCTTCCTTCTCGTCAAAAACACGGGTCCAACCAAGGACCAGTGCACCCGAAGATCCACCATTACCACCACGTACCTACCGGAGTAGTTCCGCAGCCTGTCCCTGACATACCACGAAGGCGATACCTCGGCATCCGGCGCCATGGCTCCCACAAGTGGGATCAGGCCCTCATCCTGCCTACCATCCCCAATGGTCTCGTACACATCGGGCCTCGTGATCAATATCTCGATCATGGCCTTTCCATTTCGCCTCACCCTTTGGAGCTGAACCGCCTTCCGAAAGTCCGAGAACTTCATGATGACGTATCCCACCATGGGGAGTTCATTCCAATGCATCTCATACATCAGAGATCCGCCAGGTGCATCTTCCTGAGTATACCTGTGCCTAACGGCACTGTAACTCAAGTCGCGTCCGATCCGCGTGTGCCTAACGGCAACCAACCTGGTGCTCTCCTTGAGGAGAACGCCATCCCCGTCGTACATGACCATGAGCATCGCCTCCACTTGCCCTATCGGGAAAGCTTTAAGCGTCGGAATGAAGAACTTCCAAGACATCTCAGCGTTCTCCATGCCCGAAATCTCCTTCAGGAACCAGATGGCCTGGTCACTTTTCACCCAGTTTCCAGCCTCGCGTCCGGTCTCCTTCAGCACACGTTCCTCGAATAACTCCGAGACTCTCTTTGAATTGATGACCAAGCCGTCGAAATCGCACGAGAGCAGTCTCATCAACTCCTTCGCCGCCTCCCGTCCTGCAACAGTGCCCACGGTCTCCTCGTAGTTCGGGAGGTATTCACCCAACCTCGTCTTCGAGGGAACCACAATCTGGCAAGTGACGGCCTCATCAGGGATAACTCCCGTTTCCCTTAACTCCGGATTGATCTCTCGCCTATCGGCAAGATAATCCTCCTTCCCATCCAGTATCACAAGATTGTAGGTCATCTTGCTCGCCGCCCCACTAGGCCTGAACTTCCTGCTTTCATCCAACTGGTCAGGAGCAAAGGGTCCACTAGGGGCAGCTGCACTCACCATAGGCGCTCCTCGCCCAGAGCATAGGTGCCTCTTGTGAAAGTTCACCATCTGATTCAGCTGCGATAGTGCGTAGGCACGATCCTCCAATGACGCACTCTTCATCCCAGCCTCAGTCAGAGGAGCCTCAGGCTTGTCATAACTCGCCTTTCCGCCCCATCTCGCCGCGACCAGCTCAGCAGACTTCGCAGGGTCGATCATATTTCCCGACCACTCAGGCATGTTGCTCAACCTCCTAGTCAACGCGTCTACCGACGCAGCCAAGTCTTCGTCCGTCACGGTGTAAGGGTCGACCTTCTCCCTGTCCTCTTGACCCACATCCGGAAGCCTATAATCCCCGCGGATGGCCTCCAGCGCGGCCCTCTCGGCTTCCTCAGCCTCCTTCTGCGTGGCCACTGCCCTCGGAATCAAGAGCGCTACCTCGGCCGGCAACGACTTCTCCATGTCTATCGGAGTGTTCTTGGGAAGGATCCTTCGATCATCTCCCTCCCCGCTGTACTCATAGTCAGGAGCAGTCTTCCGGTACTCCTCGAAGGTAGCCCCTTTGAAGTTGGTAATCTCACTCGGGTCTGTCTTCCCAGCCTCAGTACCCCGAGGCGTGGGCTCCTTCGTCCCGGTGGAATCCTTCTTGGAGCCTTCCTGATCCACGTCCATGTCGTCCTTCTTCTTCTCCGTCACGGACAGCTTCCCACTGTCAGGAAGGGTCACATCATCATCCTTTCCTGACCCGGCGCCCCTATCGGGGGCCGGCTCGGTCCTTGGTTGCCCCGAAGAGCTCGCCCCAGGATCCACATCGCCCTCGTCGTCCACATGTGGTCGCTTTCCCCACACGATCTTCGTCTTCGGCTTCAGCGGGACGGCGACACCTCCAGCCATATGGTGTCCAGGCCAAGTGGCACCATGATTTCCCGAACGGGAGCCCATCCCTTCCGATGATCTCCTTCCTATCGGAAGTAGATCCCGAATGTGACAACGCAGATACATGAGACAGCATGATCTCAGCCGCCGATTGCGCCAGCGTATCGGACATCTGCTCCCTTGTCGGGATAGTCCGCAGCTCCGGAGCGAGGTGACCGGCAATCATGCTGAAAGGCGCAGTCCCCAACCGCTTGCCCAACACCGCCTCGTTCAGCGCGTTGAAGTACTTCTGCAGCTTCTCCAGCATCGCCGTCGCCGCCATCAGCTGGGGATGAAACATGGGCATCCGCCACGCGCGCCCAAGGGCGGAATCCACGTGCGATGCGATCGCAGTGATCGTCCCTACCAGCAAGTGCGATGATGCAATCTCCGGTACCCAAGTCGGGTCGTCCAAAGGAATGCATTGTCCCGTCTGCGCGTTCAGCAAGGTAGCCCTCACCCCCGGTGCTCGAAGACAATCATACGCCCTGCGGTTCAGGTCACTAACGACACCACGAACCATGTAATCATCCCGATCGGGCATATCTGCCCAGTCCCCCGGAGGTGCCCGCCCATGATGGTACTTCGCCTGAATGTCCTGCCTCATCCCTAACGGGATATGGGCAGCCTCGGACGCCACCTTCTTCATGTTCCATTGCTGATCACCCCACGGCGTAGACTTCCGATCTCGAGGATTGATGTACTCCTGATCGATCCTCCCAGCAGCTCGGGAAGCATCCAACGCCCCGTACATGTAATCGTTATGTACGGCCCTCTCCAATACCGCGTTCCACTCGCTATCGCGATTCGGGAACACAATGTGGCTAGTCTCGTTCGCCTTCCTCCACTCCTCCGCGGTAACCCGCTCTTGAGTGATTGCCTTGTTCCTGATCACGGCATAGATGAAGGGCTCACCAGCCTCCCTAGCCAGGATGTGCTGAACGATGAACCTCCTATTCGACCTGCTCTCCGCCGGTCTTGCCGATGTCCGCGAGCCCCTCGGGGATTGATAGGAACTATGCTCACGGTGGTGCCGAACTTCCGCTGACTTCAGCTCGGGCGCCTCTCCCGGGTGCTCCGGGTACGGCGTGTTCGCATAATTGTGTATGCCCCCTCGAGACTCCTGGGTTGAAGCCGCCTTCGGGGTCGCTGCAGTATCCCGCAGGTCCCCGTCGTCATCCGTGTACTTCGGAGCATAGGAGACTGGCACACCCGGGCCACATGCACCCGACGCCTCCTCCTTCTTCTGAGCACCAATAGGTTCTCGAGCCCTGCGTTCCTCCCTAACGGGCGACGCCGCTCGCTTTGCCGCAGGCGATTCCACCGACGGCTCTGTCGTAGTCGTAGTGGCCTGAGGCACCTCAGCTTCCCTACCGGGAGTCTCCTCCTCACCTACCACGGGAAGCGCTCGCGGACGCACTACGGAGGAGAATGAGGCGGAGAACGCGCCGGTAGCGGGGACCCAGCAGGACCCTGACAAGTCTGACTCCGGCGAGAGCTCGTCAGACAGTCTACAGCACGCCCGCCCCGACGGTCCACATAGCGCAGCAGCAGCTCGGCTTCCTTCTCCGGCTCCATCTCAACGTCTCCGGTGGACTCCAACACCTCGGCCTCGGTCGGATCCCCACCATCATTGAAGGTATCCGTAGGGAGATCGACCCCTTCCCTATCGGGTAGGAGATCATCGACCTCGGCGGAGCCACCCGTGTTCTCCTCCTCAATCGTCGCTCTAGGCGTTCGAAGACTCGATGACCATCGATTCCCAACTTCGGTCGCCGTGACTTGAGGTGAAGAAACCCTCGTGGGTTCGGCGGAGATTTCGGTCTCACCGATGCCAGCATCTCCTTCGTGACTAACGCCTTAGGAGGTGCTTTCGGGGCAGCGGTCTGGCCTCCCGCATGCTGACCTGCGTCAGATGATTGCCCACCAGGGGTAACGCCTACCGGCGGTCCTCCCAGAGCGGCACCTGTCATGTCGACATCCTCAGACTCAGACATCGATCCGCCATCGCCCATCTTCGAAGAAGTACCCTCCTTCAGAAGCTTGAGGATGTTGTCCCTGATGTGCAACGTAACAGAACCAGACCATGTAGTCCTAGTCAGGGAGAAAAAGTCCGGGACAGCCGCGAGGTAGGGCGGCACCACAGCCCATGCTCTTTGGACCGGCCGATTCCTGCCGTAGCTGTCAACTTCACTCCCCCATGACACAGCGTCTGCTGAAACCACTGGGATCAGGTTCGCACGGAGATCGCCCATCCTGTACTGGATCTCCTTGGTCATGTGAACCCCTGGATCGCCCTCTCGATCTAACGATCGCCCCGGGCCGCAAACCATCACCTTGACCTTGTTGTTGAGCGCGATCAGCGACTCCACATCCTTACTCCACACGGTCGCCGCATCACTTCTGGCCCTCCACGCATTCCTCTCCCACCTATACAGGTAGGAGCCACGGAAACCAAAGACATACAGGTCATGCTTGGCGGCATCTGCATTGCCGTACTTCTGGATGCAGTCGTCAGCCCGCTTGTCCATCAGCTCATACGCCTTGTCAACCATCATCCGAAGGGATGTCTCCTCGTTATCACGAGTGCTGGTTACGTAATGCACCTCATAGTTCTTGAACGGCCGGTGATCTGGGGAACCCCTCAACCGATCGTTCTTTGCCCTGCACTTGAGGATGTCCTCCGCCAACGTGGCTGGGTCCATCCCTTTCTTGTTCTTCGTGGATGCAGTGTTGAACGTCTGATCCAGCAGGTAGAACACAGTCGCATCCGGGGCCGCGGACTCCTCTTTGAACACCGGAGGACCGTACCCGGCCGCCAAGGCCGCAGCAATCCTCACCGCAGCACCTGTCCCACTAGCCGCTAAACATCGAAGCAAGATTACCATCTTGTCTTGGTAGCGACTCATCTCGTGCAGAACGATGGATGGGTAGATGGACAGCATCACATCCGCTAACACGGCGACTGCCCATGCGTCCCACAGCCTTTCCATTTGTACGGAATCAACCGCCACACGGGAGTATCCTCCCCTCGGCAGCTCCAGAGTTGGCGGGATGACCTTCCCACTCCTGATCAGGCGCATCACCTGCTTGCTCAAAACACTCAAGCTCCTTCGGGAAGATAGCACCCCGACCAACGGCCTTTGCCTCGTCCTTGATCTCGGTAAGGTATCCCTTCGTTAGGGTGAGCACAAACGTTTCACCCCGGATGGCCTCAAACAAGTTCGACTTCGGCACGATCCTGGCGAATAGTGCCCCACCTTCCGCCTCGGCAGCCTGAGGGGTCCCTGGAGCAGCACGCATGTTCTCCTCTTCAACGGATAGACCTATCGGTCCCATGTAGTTCTCTGGGAAGAACTTGTGCATAGCCCACACGACCGATGGAGCATGCGGATTCCATTCGACGAATGGGTTGTAGTACTGCAGGGTGCTATCGCCCCCTGAGTTGCACAGCTCCACATATTGTGAGTCCGCCGCAGGCTTCTCAAGCTTGATGCAGATCCCACAGATCCCCAACCTCGCGTTCGGAAACACTCGTTGGGCTCCTCGCTTGACACCCTTCAGGTGGGGATTGTCGCTGAACAGATTCTCGGACTCGTCCGGTTGCGCGATGCAAATCGCGACCCTCGCCCACGTGTTCTGACCGTAGTGCGACAGAGTGCTGTATCCCAGGGCCTCAACCGCCTTCAAAGATGTCCACACACCTACCGCTTCATCGCTCGCGGTGGACGCAGTAACCTGCATACCACCCAGAATGCTCCACAATGAGGATTGCGAAGTTCCATGGATAAGGACCTTTTCAGTGTCCGTCTGGCCCTTGAAATTGATGGCCAAATCGAAGAATGCCCATCCGTCGTCGGGACCAATTTCCACATCAGTGGCACTCGCCGGGTTCTTAGGCGAGATCCTCAACACCTGTCTATGGTCCCAGTCAAAGGCATCATGCAAGGATGTGATCACACCTGACATCTGTCCCATCGCGTGCAGGTACCCCCGCATTCCTGGCTTATCAGCCGTCGCGAACTCCTTGACCGACGGGACCGACGAAAGCCTCCGTCCTGAGGAACATCTAACGATCTCCTCCCTGTTTCTCCCTTCCGTCAGCATCATCGCGTCCACGACCAACTCCGGAGGCGTGAACAGTGCGTTCGGCCTCTCGCTCATCCAGGCACGGATTGCGTTGAAATGGTGCTCCGCATCACCGAAATCATCTCCACTATACAGAGGGTGATCTCCGAATGCCGCCTCTGCCTGATCAGCGACCGCCTTTACCAAGGCAGTCTGCGGGTGAACCGTCTTCCACTCCGGCCAGGCTTTCGGGTCTCCAACCCACATTCCTCCGCATGGTTCAGCTGCCGGCTCCGTACTGCTATCCATAGGTAGCGCACTCTTGCCACTTTCAATGCTTTCCTCAAACACGAACGCGATATGGTAGGGAAGCAAGAAAGCAGGGTCCGTCGGAACCGCAGCGCAGAGGATAGCCGCCAAGTGCACGGCGTTCATCTCCGTAACCTCCACTCCCCGGCGCTTCATTTCCGCCACTATCGCAGCAGTCCTGACCGCCCGGTACCGGATCAGCTTTTCATGGTCCGTCACCGGCATGTGGGACTTGTCAAGCTTGTCCTTGCTGATGTGGGATACTCTGCCAACCAGTTCGTCGAACCTCGCGGCACTGTCATCCTCAATCAGCTGATCAGCCTTCTCCATATCTGGATCAATCGTGGTGAACTTCGGATCCTGTCCCCTAAACCCTTAATCGTCCACTCGCGGTACCCCGCAAGCAAACAACTGGCCACAGCCTTAGGCTTCTCCATGCCCAGCCCCATTTCCAGGTCCCAGGACGGCCGCGGAGGCGTCGCCATGCAGCGCCCCAGGCCCATTCCGCCAGCTGCCGCCATGCGTCAGCGGCCACGGAACCACGGAGGAACCGGGAACCCAGCCTACCGGCCAGAATTCCCCCATCCTTCAGAAGGCTCAGCCTATCGGCCAGAGACCCTCTCCCTAGAACAAGAACCTAGAAGATGAATAATTGACCGACTCCGTCATTCACGAAGAAGAAGAAAAACCTTAGTGACAGGCATATCTGCCTCATGCTTCTGTTCTGGTCAGTAAGCGCACTGAGTCGCCTGTGAATGTGGTGCGGTTGCCCGCGGTGTGAGCCAACTTGATCAAGCAAACGCTACGCGGCAACGAAGTTGTTCAACCACTTCCCAACAGCAAGCAATCGGTCGTGCCGAGAGAGAGAGTATCCCCTCCTCGCATCTTGCAAGTACTCCAAAACGAATTGAAAGACTTAGAAGACAAACACCTAAACACAATCCCATGCCTCTTGAGACCACATTGGCAAGCGCAAACAGACCTGCAATCAAACCCATGCGTGGTAGCGATTCCTTCAACCTCACCTTCCTTCAAGATATTGCATTTAGGTCGATAGAGAATGATCGGAACGCATCCACTGGTTCGAGCATCACAAGCCAAGTTGAACCTTTGCCTAACGGCAGCCTCGGTCCTATCCCTAAGCTTTCTGGTCTGTCCCCACTTCCCAGTCCTGGAATCAACCCTATCGGGTGCAAGATCATTAAGAACAAGTACAACATAACAAAGGCTATCGCCTTCAATCCTACCAGATCGTATGATGTGATTCCTGTAACCAGGAGCAACTTGAAGCGTGACAACCCTGCAAAGATCACTATAAGCAAGAACACCGGCTATCGCCAGATCCGCAAGAATAGTTTTCTCGCATCTTTTCCCTCCTTTTTCCTCGTCAATCACGATTCCCTCGTACTCAGAGAGTAACCTCTCAATGAGCCGATTGAAACCGGATTTTGCACCTGATTCCATGCGTACCCCCCTAAGCGGGGGCAGTCCAGGAGCGGCAGGGGGCTTAAGACAGGGTTGGGTGGGTTGGGCCAAATATTCCTGCAGGTATCCCGGCAGAAACATACCAAGGGTGTGCAGATTTCTATTCCACACGACCTTGTCAATGCAGGCCTTAGTGAAAATGTCTGCGCCTTGGTAGTGAGACGGGCACGCAACGAACCGAAAAATTCCAGCATTAAAACGTTCGTTGAGCCACGAGATGTCAATGCGCTGCGTCCTCGACATGTAGCGCATGTTGGGATTATTCCCAGTTATAACGATCCGGCATGCCGATTCGTTATCCTCCAGCACGTTGATAATAAACGGCTGGGTCTCCTTTCCCTTCCCAATAGCGTGCTGCCAGAGGGTAGCTAATGCCATTCCCTCCTTGGACACTCCATGGTCGAGAGCAACAATCTCTGCTTCAGGAGTCGACTTCGAAACGGAAGTCTGTTTCTTGCTTACTCCAGTGATGGGCATGTAGGTCCTAGGACCCACAAGACAAATAAGCACTCCCGACGTGCTCTTGGAATCAGTACGATCCCCAGCCAGATCCGCATCACAGTAAGCAACCAACTCAATGAACTCTGGGCTATCGCCCACCCAACCGTACAAATAAAGATCGAGAGTAGAGTTCACATGTGAAATTAACCTGTGGAGCTTGCCGTCACATAGATGATTCCACTTCGTGACCCGGCTGGCTAACGCCTGCACGGGACGAATCAGGTCATATCTGCCCATCCGAGCTCCGTAGAGAACCTTCATCAGCACCGCCGCCGCGTCATCTCCGAGGCATCCTGGCTGCGCATTGACGGTCTCCATGTCCATTGCCTGGTTGAAGAGTTTGTCAAATTCAGGGTTGACGGAATTCTCGTCAAACTCCGGCTTGCTCTCGTCCAGGAACGGAGTTTCAACCTTCTGCAGCTTCTTCGGGTACTTTCCCTGACACAGTTCAATGTACCTATCGACACACGCCTGCATGAAGCTGCTCTCGCTGTACTTGATGAACCTTATCGTGGTTTCCGGCTTGGGGATGTCCTTAGAGAGTAACCCCTCTGGACCAAACCTCAAGTCGGGTTGCTCCTTATCAGGAGGATTGCCGACCGTCCACGCCAGTCTCGGGTCAAAGTGACCCTTGACCACCTGTTGCGTGAATTCGTGCTCGCAGCCAAGATATCTCTTGAGCTGCCTTGGTTCCTCCATCTTGATGACCTTCGAGATCAGCGCCCATCCTTCTGCGATGTTCTTCGCCGGCCCACTCATCTTGAAGTCATCCACGTACACGACAAGGAAGAGGTCGAGCTCCTCATGCCTAAACACGCTGGCCCAATCCTTCACCTTGACGTAACCGACCTTCTTCAGCATTGCCTCGCAGTGCTGTTCCCAAAAGGTACCAGCGTCCGGATGTCCATATAGTGCAAGCACGAGGACAACGACCGGATCCTTGTATCTGGGATTTCCGCTGCCGTCGAACCACTCAGGTGGCCATTGGTCGCGAGGAATCCTCACCCAAGTCTTCTTTCCCTTCAAGCGGGCCTGAGTGTACGCAGACTCCCCATCACTCACTTCCAGAAGATTCCCTGGGAGTAACCCGTGAGCATCACCCATCTTACCCGCCGCCATAGTAGCGGGGCAGGAGGTGTTCTCGGAGAACAGGGCCCAATGCCCGATCTCATCACGGACGAAACATCCCTCGAACACGACTCGCCCTTTATACTTGCGATTTGGATCGTCCTCCGGCAGCTCGTGATTCTTCTCGACACAAATGTCGAAAATTCTACCAACATGGATCTTCTCCCCTTCCTTACGTGCCTTGGCCGCAACATCATGCCACTCTTGGACAGTTGACAAGTCCCAGCATCCTTGCGAAGTTAACTTGTCCCACTCCTTCTGAAGAGCGGCCTTAGCCTTGGCATTCCCAGCTTGTTCCTTCTTGTTCACTGGCCTAGCGACACAAGCGTACAAGGGAGGAAAGACACCCGAGCTCTTTGGCCGATGAGAGAGGGATATCTCCCCCCTGGGCATAGAGAACTCAAAGGTCTTCCCATCAGATCCAATCGTAGGGGCAGCAGCAGCTATACCAGTGCTTCCGAAACCCGCGGATCCCCTATCGGTTCCCCGCTTGGCTTTCCTAGGAACGATTGACGCGTCGATGAGCATAACACGCTCCAGTACTATCTGCGCAATGCGGTCCCCAGGATTTACGATAAAGTCCTCACCCCCATGATTAAAGAGAATGACCTTGATCTCTCCGTCGTAGTCGGGATCAATGACCCCACCGCCTACAGCGATCCTGTTCTTCACGGCTAGTCCTGACCTGGGAGCTATCCTAGCATATACCCCAGCGGGCATCTCTATCGAGATTCCGGTGTTGACCAAGCCTGACCCCCCTGCGGGAATACATGCTCCCTCAGAGGCATAGGTATCCAAACCCGCACTCCCCGAAGTAGCCCGCGTCGGGATCTTGGCAGTCTCACTGTTAAGACTAACGTACAAGGTATTCGGCTTCTTCTTCCATCGCTGTTCAACCGAGTCAACCTCGACCGGCAGAGCATTCGCGACCTTCTTGAACGTGCCGTTTGGGTACCATGCTTCAACGATTGCCTCGCACATCGCACTTGGATAGAGAGCAGTCGTTGGGGTGACCGACCCCTCAATGCGTGCATGAAGGTATCCCTTCTCGTGCTTGCACTTCCGACCCGACAGCTCGTCAATGAGCTCCTTGGAGGTCGTCGCAACCTTCCACTGCTTCCTGATTGGCACACCGTCCTTATCCTGCATCCCGAAGTCACAGCCGTCGAAATCTACGGTCTCGACATCAGGATCAGCAAGAAACCTCTGCATGAACGGTTGCTTCCATCCAAGACAGTGTCTAGGCCACTCAAATGCAACCCTGCCCCCTCCTCGCCTAACGGCTCGGGAGGCCCGCAGGAATGCCGCAAACATTACCTGAGAATTCCTTCTCAGATCATTCAGGTGTGATGCAAACTCAGCACCGTGGATTGAAAGGTTGACATACTGCCATGTACTCCACGGTCCGCACGGAATTGACGCCCAGAGGTCACACCCAGGATTATCCTCGATGATCCCAATAAGCCGACTAACGTCTTTGGCTTTGGTGATGTCAAATGAGCCAACGTGAACGCGAATTGCATCGCCTCCACACTCCATCATCACTGCGGACAAACGCGAGTCAGGTTCACACGCAAACTCGATGAGGAGCTTGCGGCCAGGCGCTGGAGCAGCCGGGTCCCTCTCAGGATGTTCGCGGCGTCGTTCTTCCCTTAGGGATAACTCCCGTTCGGTTTGAACATATATCTCCCGAGACCGGGTAGACATCTGTCTCCAACTGTCCGCATCAATTGAATTGGGTTTTCCGGTGCCTGCGTATGGCCGCTCACGCCTATCGGCGGATTGGCCATAGTCGATCCTGTCTCCGTGCAGCTTATGACCCTTCTTCGGACCTCCGGCAGGTTTGGCTCCTTCTTCCTTTGGCTTAAACCTACCGTGGGGAGCACATCCCTTATCAAAGAGGATGGTCACACCAGTCCAAAATCCACGCGTGAAGTGCCGATGATTGGGAGCATCGTGATGACGATCATCTCTCACCCAATTTCCAACGGCATCAAGCCCCCGCATGTGCGTGACCCTAACGGTGTCAAGCTCCTCATGCGAAGGACCACCTGGAGGAAGGTCCTCGTTCGTCGTCCCGAAGAATTTCTTCCGCACCTCAACGTGGATGCGATACCAGGCGCTGTCCTCGTCGTGCCGCTCCCAGTAATCTGAGACGCACGCGTCACCACTCCCTTGGACAGCCTTGTTCTGAATGGCCCCATCAGACTTGGAAGAGCTACCGCCCCCCTCGTCCTGTTGGTCATCGTCATCATCATCAGGATCATCAAATCGACCTTCATCAAAGTCGAATTCATCCCTGATCTTCTTACTCGGCTTAAGTCGGCTCTTCGGTCAGCTAACGCCTCCCGAATGGTCCGAGTCCTAGCATCATATGATGCCAACATCGGGAACACGTAGGGCTCCTCAGGGTTCTTCCAGATACGTTTGACCTGGTGTATACTTGGTTTCCTGAGACCCCTTTGGATGTGCTCGAGATCAGCAACGAGATAGTCGCCCTTCCACAGCCCCCCTGGTTCTAACCGATAGCCCAGAAATAGGCCTGGCTTGGAAGATGGGGCGAACTTCGGATCCTCCTCTATCTTGATGAAGTCCCGCTCTTTCTTCTCGGCGGGCAGGGCAGTAGTGACGCTTGTCTCTTCAACCTCTACCTCATCAATGGGAACAAAGTCCGGTTCGTCGTTGCATTCGGGTTCATACTCCTCGTTCTCATAGATCTCGGCCTCGTCCTCATCGATCTGATCAAAATCACAGTCGAAATGAGTTTCTCCAGTCCATTCGTGGTTACCTCCACGGTCGTTCTCGGCCTGGAGCAACAAATTCGGTCGATCCGTCCAGATAGTTGAGGACTGTGCTCCGCCTCCTGCCAAGGTCTTTGATCTTGACTGGACAGCTCGTCCCTATCGGGATAAAGAGCTCGGTTCGCGCTTCAACGTGGACGCGAGTGAGAACCTTCTCGTCTTCATTTGCGATCCAGTGGTCTCCTCCTTCATCAACGTCCTCTGAGTCGATCTTCCCAGCATGTCTGGAGTCGTTTTGGGCGTTTTGAACCCCCCCCTTTCTATCCCTGCGAATCTTGGGAGCAATGGGGTAGAAGTAGACCAGACAACCAAACGGCAGAATGACTCCGCTGAAGTTCCCGTTACCGTGGCGTCGCATCCACGGTGATCCCTCACCGCGATTTTCGATGTTTCTTGCCAGGGAAAAATGCCTAACGGCAAATGGCCACCATCGAGGTTCAAATCCAGCTTGACGCAGGAGCACACGTGCCCCGTGAAGAACGAGCTTAACCTTGTTCTCGATCAGGCCATTGGTCTTGGGCATGCCCGGTGTAGAAAGCCGGAGCAATGCTCCAAGCGTAGTGACAGCATTCTTCAGCTCTGGGGCCTGGTCGCTGTACACTAACTTCAGAGTTTGCCCCCCTGCAAACCTGCGAAATGCCTCCAGCGTATTGCTACGGGATCTGGACTGCACAGGAAGGACTTCGAGGTAGTCAGTAGCGAGGTCATAGAACACTATCGCGTCTGCTTCGCCATGAAAGCCTCGATCCTTCAATCCTCTCAACACCATCGTGTCGGCGGTGGTTAGGTCCCCGAAACTTACCACGTCATGCGCAGCAGCACCACCTTTGCGGCGAAGCTTGACATTCTCCATTTTCGCACGCTGGCAGTGCGGGCAATAGGGGTTCTTCGGGAGATGCGTGAGCATATGGCGAAGCGTCTTAGCATCTGCCCGCCACTCAGCCTCTGTGCGTAGTCCGGAGAGAAAGTTTATCTCGACAATGTCACCATCATCCCCTTCCCCCGGGCCAGGAAAAAGTGGTGAGTGGCTATCGCCCTCACCCCCCTGTTCCGCCTTTCCGGGAAGAGCAACGGTCTCGCACTTGACCCGAAACCACGTTTCACCCGTCCAAGGGACATCAGATGCTATCGCATGCTGATCCCTTTCGGATAACTCCCATAGACTATCAACCAGCACCTCATGGGTAACCCCATTTCGATGAACGACAGTTTTCCTGTAGTTATCCAATCGATCAACCCCAACGGGGCAATCATCGCCTATCGGCACAAACTTTGCTTTGCGCGGAAGCCGGTGCTCCTTCACAACATGGCCCGACCGCTCAGTGCGCCAGGTGTCCTGTAGCTCACTCTTGGCCGCAAGCTCAGACCTACACGGCGGAATCTCGCTGGCTTCAAGCCCTCGATATGCCGCCCCGGGGGCAGGCATAGCAGGGATTGGCTCAGCATCATCAAGAGTGGGAGAAACGAACTGAGTGTCACCATGGGGAAGATATGGCACGTTGTTGATGACATCCAATGCCACCGTCCGGCCCGAAGGACACGTGAGAGTAGGCTTGCAACCTGCAGCCCACACAAACGAGTATCCCATATCCATACAACGCTTTCCAACGGATATGATGGATGGAGTGGACTCAAGGACGTGTGCCTCAATCACCTCGTCCAGGTTGCCAACATCAGCATCAACACGACCAGCGGTGCGAGTCGCCCCGTTGGCAGTGTGCAGCGCATGAGTGTGTCCGCCTTTGGCAATCAGGGCCCTATCGGGTCCTTTCAAATCACCGAGACCGACCAGATCCATTGGGCAACCAGTATCTACCAGCCACCTCACCCCATCGTATCCAACAGGTGCAGCAACCTTCTGAGTGTACTTCGGCTTTCGTACAACGCGATGTCCCCGCACATCACCAGGGTTGGTATCGATGTCCTCGTCATTGTCTAGGAGCACTTGGGCGTGAACAGCCGCTGCTCTTATCAGAGCACTTTGTACTTCCCTAGCAATTCTCTTGCGCGAAGGGAACTTAATCGCATTTGGATGGCTGTATCCAGCCTCTCGGCAACGATTCACGACCCTACCCGTATTGTCATTTTCAATCGAAACAACAAACACATCAGGAAGATCGGGAATCTTGGCCCTGAGAGGTTCCCTACCGGGACCCTTCGGGAAGTACTTTTTCCTCCAGGACAGTACAACCTCCGCATCATCGCAATACCAAAACGTTGTCTTGGTATCACTTCGTCTTGGGAGTCTCCTGAACAAGGTTGCTCGGCGATCACTAAAGTTCACCCCGATATCCTCGATCACGGTCCCTTTTGCGTCAACTGTCCGTCTCCAAATGACTTGGTCCCATTTAGGACCTCCACCGGTAGTACCGGAGAAGAACAACGCGCCTCGCTCGCTTTTCTCCCAACTGCTAACGCAAGGAGGGAGGCAACCCGGTGCAGACCCACCGGTAGCTGGGGCAACAGCCCACATAGCTGGACACGCCACAACAACACGTTTGGCCTCAGGGTAACGGCCCGCCCCGCCTAAAAATCCGTCAATCCTTGAGCGGGGCTGTCGAGACGCCTCGCCTCCCTATCGGGAGGACTGGGCGTAGGCGATCTAGGGGTATCCCCCTCTTCATCCTCAACAACCGGACCAGCAGTAGAACGAGGCGTAATGGGCTTCGTGCCTGGTGGTGGCTTCTGATGCAGGTACTTGCACGGCTGAGCTGTGCACTTGCCATACATCCAGTCGTAGCAGTATCCGAAGAACATAGGCTTGTCCCTAACGGGCCTATCTCCAGTCCTCGGCGTGGAGGGCGCAGCGGGGTTCCTTGGGCTCTTGTCGTGCTCGAACCTGCATTCCCGGCCATATTGACACTTCCCAGTCTTCGTATACTCCCAGCACGCCCGATCAGCAGGCCCAGCAGGGGACTGTCTTCTCGGCGACTTGGGAGACGGCGTGCGCTTATCCCTCTGACTGCCTCTTCCAGGAGAAGCTCTGTCTCTCTGACTGCTCCTCCCGGGCGAAGATGATCTCGGCCTCCCATCAGGTCTCCCATCCCTTCCGGACCTAACGGACCTTGAAGGGCTGGGATCACTCTTCCTGGCAAGTGGGTCGTACCGCCGCACTACACCAGGGGCACCAGGATGCCGATCCCTCTCCCGGGATTGAGAGCCTGATCGTGACCTCTGTTCATGAAAGGTCTGGTACATCTGAAGCGTGTTCTGGCGCTTCTGCCACCGTTCGACACAGTCCTGACAAGCCTTATAAAGCCACGCGAACGACCTAACGGTCACATCGCGATCCCACCTCTCGATGTCAGGCCGCATACAGCGTAGATGACGAACGTTCTCGATGAACAC